AGGAGGAGGAGGAGGAGGAGGAGCGCCTCCCTGAGGTTCTGACTCAGTTCCTCCTCAGACTAATTAAACCTGGGGGAGAGTCTGTGATTACTGCTGCTGCAACACACACACACACACACACACACACACACCTCAGATCAGAGTTTTGAAGGTGTTTTCTTCTCCGTCAGCCTCACCGATCTTCATCTTCATCTTCATCTGCAGCAGAGATGGAGACGCTGCCACCTGCTGTTGATGTGATTGTCCGTCATGACTCAGAGCCTCTGACCCTGAGGCCAAACATGAGGAGCTGGGCCTTTAACACGGTCATTTATACTGACATACAGAGTCCAGCCTGTAGGTGGCAGTGTATCCAGGAGACAGGGTTCAACTGTTGACTGCAGTAACTGGACTGTTAGTTTGTAGTACTTGTAGTACCTACGATAATTATACTACAAATACTTCAAATTAAAATCTGCTGCAGGAAAGAAAAGAAAAGAAAAGAAAAGAAAAGAAAAGATCGACGATGACATCATTGAGTCAGTGATTTTATTAACACACACACACACAAAATCAGACAGTCAGTCAGTCAGACAGACAGTCAGTCAGACAGTCAGACAGTCAGTCAGTCAGTCAGTCAGTCAGTGTAGTCTACTGAGCTACAGATTCAAAAGCTAAGTGAAGCTACTCAGAGTGACAGACAGCGCCCCCTGTCTTAAGTCTAAAAGCTAACGCTACATTCTAAATGCTTTTATTTTGAAAGAACCAAGGAAAATGTGTGAGTGTGGTTTAGTGGGTTTCTAACACAGAAAAGGCACCTGGCTGTGTGCCCCTGAGCAAGGCATCGACCTCCACACTGACCTCTACAGGCTGGCAGACACAAATGAATTTATTTCTATATGAAACCCTTTTTTAAATTTAAATGTGATGAAAAGTCATTTGTTTTAAATAAAATCATCGACCAAGAGTTGGACATCAGTGTGTGTGTGTGTGTGTGTGTGTGTGTGTGCTGCCTCAGCAGGCCGGCTCCACCTGCAGCAGCGTCACTCCCCGCTCCTCTGACGGGTGACATTCGTGGATGTGGCGGCTCAGTCCGGGGGGGGTGAACAGAACAGCGGGACAGTGTTTACACACGAACACGCTCGCGGCGTGCAGGAGGCGCACGTGGCGCTCCTGGCTCCCCCTGCTGGAGAACTTTTCCCCACACACCGGGCACACGTGACAGCTGGAGGCGCTCAGGTTGAGCGGCGCTCCCGCCGCGTCTGCGCCCTGCGCCTCCCCTGAGACGTTCTCCTCCGCGGGGGACGCGTGTTGCGCCACCAGGCGTTCCTTCAGGAGCGTCTGCCGCTTGAACAGACCCTCCTCTGAGCCGGACTCTGAGGGTCCGGGGCTCGGTGTGTCCCGGCCGCTGCACTCCTTCTCTTCGTCTCGCGCGCTCTCACCGGATGCGGCAGCCGCTGCCGCTGCCGCCGCCGCCGCCTTGTCGCCTTCTGCCGCCACGCTCTGCTGCTGCCTGGGTTTGTGCCAGCGACGGTGCGACGCCAGGTTGGCGGGACAGCTGAAGACCTTGTCGCAGTCTGGACAGCGGTAGTCCACGCGGACGATCCTGGAACATCTGTGCTGCGCCAGCGACAACGGGTCCGCGTACGCTTCACGGCAGAGCTGGCACACGAACTCACCGAGGGGCTGGTCCTTGCACTTCCGGTCCATCGGCAGCTCTTTGATTCTCAGGCCAAGTACCGGTGATGTGGTGACGTCATCTTCAAAGTGCAGTTTCCGAATAGTTTTGGCTTTTCTGGCCGCGGTTCTGCCACACGGCCGCCGGGTGCCGCTGGAAGATGAGGAGGAGCAGCAGGAGGAGGAGCAGGAGGAGGGGGAGGATGATGATGATGGGGGGCCAG